ATGGTAATGTTTGATAATGAGTTCGAAACAAAGGAAAATAAAATTTAAACCAAAGATAAAATTGAACCGCAACAAAAAGTACTTGCAAGGCTGAGTTTTGAAAAGATCCATGTCCTCAAGGCAAGTTTTAGTAAAAACGTGCTGCAAATTACTGACATAAATTTCTTTCCAACTATAATATATTATTATATAAGCTAGCCCAATGGATTTTGAGATACATATTTCCCTCCCAGTGTAAGCCTAGCCGATTTTGAAATGCAAATTTCCCTCTGTATATGGAAGAAAGTGCTGCCTTTGTAGTGACATCTGCAAATGGTTAGACTTTCTATAGTCTTCTCGAATAAGGATGAAAAACCATAGGTCCTGTCTCATAGCACTCTCACTGATTTGTTCTTGTGCCGGGGATGTAAAATAACCCACGTCACCATTCTAAAAGAGTAGGGGTCATAGGCCTGGTAGTATGGTCAGCCTTTACGGGTTGTGGGATTGGGTAGGGATGGCACCTCACATGGACCTGAGTCTCGTTCATGCACATTCCCTCTGGGAATGCTGGTAAAAAAAATTAATTGATTGATTAAAATTGTGCATATTTACACAAGATTATTTGCACAGCTAATTCATGATTTGTATATTTTTGTAATTTTTTAATTAGGTCCAACTGCAGTGGCAGAGCAGGGCACAAGCACAGGTTTAGATGCAGGCAAGCAAGGTACTTCATGTATACTGCATACTGTACTTCACCACTTTTTTAGTCAGAAAATTTAAAATTAGAAATATCATTTTTGAATTTAGTTGTTGCAGTCTGAGGAAACACTTGTAAAAAGGGTTGTAACCTAATTAAGCTGAATAATTTGGTTTATCAAAATTACACTAACAGGTTTTTTGGGTGGAATAATTCAAGAATAATACTTGTTGCAAGAGAAACCCACCAATTACAATGACTTTTTTGGCCGTGTTTTGGCCTGAACACAAGTCCAGTCAATTCCTCAATGACCCGGTTATAAATATTGCCTTGACCCCATTGACACAACCAACGACCACCTTCTGAAGTTCCCAGTCAGTCGTTATTGTAGCAGTTTTATCCCAATAATACCACCAGTCCAACTGCCTTGTGATAACAGATGGCAAGCGAGAAGCAATCATTTTGACAGCCATAACACTTTTTGTTGAGAGTCAATCATCAAGAAAGCATCAATGTAATTGAGCATAACTGAGTTTTGAAAAATTATGGTCACACTTTTCCTTTAATAAGACCTGCAACCCGTTAGTTTATATAAAGAAAGTTTAGGGAGAATTACTTTGTGTATTCAAAACGTTGTTTATTTTGAATGTTTTGTACAAGTTTGCTTCCATGAATCTTTGGTTGGTGGACAAAAAATCATTTGATGCATTTCATTGTCTGCAAGACTGAAAAAGCAACTTCACTGAAAAACATCGGTAGCACACAAGACACTGGTGTGTAGTGACTTATAATATATTTGTTGTTGTATTTCAAGGTCCATCTGGAAGGGTTGAGCAAGCAGGCACAAGTACAAGTTTCGTTACAGGTGAATAAGAGATTACTAGTTGTGTGTAGTATCACAACAGCTCCCTGACATTAATCTAGCTACTAAACTTTTGTTCTAACTATTAACTCATCAAGGTTCACAGCAGAAAGATGCGAGTACTGCTGCTGATGATGTTAGAACATCAGCTGGAGCCAAATCTCAAAACCATCTTAATAAAAGTACAGTGTACATGTAATTTAGTCCTACAGAATATTGCTGAAGGACAAGGATAGTTAATCAATTTTCTCCAACAGTCCCTGATAATGGTTCAAGTCCAAGGGTCCGTACTCCGGGTTTCAAGTGACAGGGATGATAGAATGGGGGCTAAAATCAAAACCCAAAAAAATTCCTAGGGCTTCCAACAAAACCCCCAAAAAATCCCATGCCGAATTTCTTAGCCATAACAATTTCGCGAGGAACTACGCAGCCAGAATGAAAATTGCAGCCGCCATCTTGAAAGCAATTGAAAAACTAAGGGAGCAGAAGTGGTGGGGAGAAAAAAGGAAAAACCCATCAAGCTCTCCCTTGGAATCACTTTTTGACTCACCCCAACTGTCCAAGATGGCTGGAGAACATTAATGTTGTTGTTTGCACTGCAAAATTCGCCTGCCTATTTGCAGGCTTGTACAGCTAATATTTTATATATTTTCGTAATTTTTAAATGCAGTTTCAGGTCCATGTGGAGGAATAGAGCAGGGCACAAGCACAAGTTTTGATGCAGGCAAGCAAGGTACCTCGTGTACAAATGTATAGTTGCATGCTGATTTACCTTACAAACTTTAGACTCCACCCCCCCGCCCCCACCCCTCCATCCCCTACTTTTTTAGCACGTCAGAAAATTTAAAATTAGAAAAATCATGTTGAATTTAGCTGTTGTAGACTGAGGTAACACTTGTAAGGTTGTAATCTATTAAAGCTGGATAATTTTAAAAACTGATTTAATGTTTGTTTATCAAACTCAGAAAACAAGTTTTTGTTGTATTAATTCAAGGTCGTACTTATTGCTATAGAAACCCGCCAATTACGACCACCTTTTTGGCCTGAACAAAAGTCCACTCATTTCCTCAATCCTGGATTTGAATACAGCCATGACCCCGTTATTATAACCAATGAGCACCTTTTAAAGTTCAGTGACGTCATTATCTTTCAATTTGAACCCGAATAATATGGTCAGTTAAAATAAAAATGATAATAATGGTAATAATAATAATGATAATAATATATATTTTTTTTAAATAGGCTTCTAGTAGAGATAATTATATCATGATACATGTCTTTGCGTAGGTTTTACAGAGTATAAGAATTGAATACTATTCTAAATTGGCTTTTTAGGTAGCAGGGGCGTAGCTAGGATTTTTCAAAGGAGTTGGTGGGGGGGTCACACTGCATCACACCCAGGATACTTACCAGATTGGCATGTCGACATCCAGGCGGTTTTTTTTAACTAAAAGTGATTTATTTTGGATGAGTATGGAGCGTGGGGGGAGGGACAAGCCTACAAGATAGCTGCATAGATTAATTAAGTTCAACGTAGCATAAATTACTCTATTTTAGTTACGAACAAGAACATGGGCCACTGCAGATGTTCGGTCCTGCAAATGGAGTAAGCAACAATCTAGCACTGGAAAAGATTTATTGCATGTTGATCGTTCGGATTCGCGAGTTTTGGCCACCTGAATTATAGGGACATAAAACAATTATCTCAAAAAGAAGGGGGGGGGGGGTCATGGGCATCCCAGGACCGCCCCCTAGCAACGCCCCTGAGTAGAGAGAATCATATCATTATGTATATTAGTATTGTATTAGGTTTCGTCCCGAACTTTTTGTACTTCTAAGTATAGCTACTCAAGTGGTGTATGTTACGTTAGCGACCTATACTATTAATAATGTGGACAGCATTCCAAAGTTTTATACTGCGAGATAATATTAATAATAAATGCAGAGATCTATCATCTTGAGTAGTTTAAACAATGCCCGGACTTTGAAAGTTGTTGGAACATGGTACCAACCTCATTTTAATCATGAAGGACATGTTGAAGGACATGTATATACCCACCCCCCCGGTATATACAGTACCGCTCACAGACAGTCACTTGCATCTCAAGCCTGGAGACTCGATTCTCGAAACTTTCGAGGGTAGAGTCTCGAGAATAGAGTCTCGAGGATCGAGTTTCAAATTTGGAGTCGAAAAATATGAACTTGTCGTGAGAGCGCGCACTAATCAGTGTTCTCCCTAGGTACTTAAGGCTAGGCGGATCGCCTGGCTTAATACACTGGAGAAATTGTTGCCGCCTTGCTTAAAAACCATTATTTAACCGAAGGGAAGCTTATGTTGACATTTAGAGCTAGGTATTTTAAAGACAAAATCACTCAAGGGAGGGAATAAACCATTGTCTGGTGTCTTTATTGTGTATTTTCTCGCAAGGTATTGGTTATAAAAGTGGTTTATCGTTGAATGAAAATGTTCAATACTGTGATGCATTCATTTTGTTGAATGGCCCTCTAAGGAGCTTTAACGTGGAGTACTGAAGGAAATTCCTTCGCTCGCAGTCAACCCAAGACGCGCGGAACAAAGACGAAAGGCTTGTTAAAGCAAATCGAGTTCACTCTTACAACTTAAACTAAGTTCCTAAGTCGATAAATTTCTATTCAGGCTACAGCGGACTTCGTACAAACACTGTTAAAAATCACAGTCAGAATACCCCCTGGCCTTCCCAAACTTCTAGGGTGAACACTGCACTTAAAAAGTGCACACTTACCGTTTGTTCTAAAAATCACCGGTCCATGCATTGGGTGAGACTCGTTCGCTTTTATGTGAACGAAGCTCGCGCTTTGAAAGCGAAAACGTTCGCTTATGGCTGGTGCTAATAGTCTTTTTGAAACTCTCTTTTATAGAAGTGAAGGCATACATGTACTTGAGATACATGTAATAGCAGTGAAAATTGAGCCTCTGCTTGAAAGTAAACAACAACGAAACAACTCATACAAGAATAGTCTCCCTCGCAGCCGTTTTTTGGATGCCACGCAACGCTCCCCCAAAAGAGCGTTGCGTGACATCCAAAAAACGGCTACGAGGAAGACTAATACAAGAAACGACCGTATAAAAATTGCATGTGCACAGTGTACGGCCGTAATTCTTTTTGATTTTTCATCGTTTGTACGTCAGACTAGCGGTAAAAAAGAGCCTCTGTTTGAAAGTAAACAATAACTAAACGACTCTGTAGATAATCGTACTGAAACAAAATTTTTCAGCCATAAATCTTCTTTAATCGTTCGAAAAAAAGCCTTTTTAATCCTTTGAACGGAGGTTAAGGAAATTTCTAGACCAAGAACTTGGAAAAGGTCCCAGCATTCGGAATTCCATGTTTAGTTTTATGCAACTCCCCATACTTTTTAGATCTGATGGCGGTATCATAAATGATTTTTCCATAAATTCTTCCCTTTTTCTCTCTATCAGGTGCTTCATCTGTGAAACCGTTCGACCTGAAGTCGTGTCGAAGCAAACTAGAAGAACATTACCAAAAAACAGCAACTGTGCCCACCTCTGTTTGGTGTAAGAAATCCGTTGTCGACATTCGCCAGATCTACACTCGACTGTCCTGGGTGAAAGACGAGCAAACCCCAGCTGGAACAACGCAGTCTGAACTGAAGCATTACAGTGACCTTTTCACTGCAAACAAGAACGGCTTTATTCCAAAGAGAATTCTCGTGCAAGGACAGACGGGAATTGGAAAAAGCACGTTTGTTAAGAAACTGCTTGTGGACTGGGTTGAAGTTAATAAGAAGACTGGTGATGAGCAAGCAGCTGGTCTGAAGAATTTTGAGCTTGTGGTTGCTGTAAATCTCAAAGAAGTGTCCAAATGTCAAAGCCTTAAAGATGTCATAAGACTCTCTAATGTGTTTGCAAAGGAGGACAAATATATGACAGAAGGCCTTGTTGATTATATCAGTAACAACCAAGAGAAAGTTCTTCTGATCTTTGACGGCTACGATGAATACCGCAGTGGATGTGACTCGGAAATATACGAGATTTTTAGTGGAAACAGCCTGAGAAGCTGTTGTGTATTAATAACAACTCGTATTTCAAAAGCTGACGAGCTACGAGGTGGTGAAGACCTGCATGCTGAAATCACGGGGTTTAGCAAAGTGGACAGAAATGAGTTTATGCGTAGATTTCTCAAGAGCGAAGAAGTTTCAGAGTTACAGGATCACTTAGATGAGATGAATTTAAACCAACTGGCAAAATTCCCATTACTTCTCCTGTTTTTCTGTACACTGTGGAGACAGGGGCAGTCGAAAAGCTTTCCAAAATCTAAAACTAAATTGTACGTGGACATCGTCCAGTTCATTTTAAATCACGGCCATAGCAAGAAAACAGGTGATGAAACAAAAACAAAGCGGTATGTGAAGCTAAACTCTTTCAAAGAGATCCTCTGTGAAATAGGTAAAGTTGCTCTACAAAGCCTGTTAAAGGATGATCACTTATTTGAATACAGTCAGTTGTCCGATTCTGTCCGTTGTGGTGAAAGCGTTGTCGTTGGTTTGCTTCAAATCACCGAATACTCAGAAACCTTACAACCAGTTGGAAAGGTTTCCTTTATTCACAAGAGCATACAGGAGTTCCTTGCCGCATGGTATATCACCTACAGATGTATAGCTGTAGAAGGGAATCTCGGTGAGATTGGTGTGAAGTTAGAGGAATGCTTGGAGCTACAGAATGTTTTCCAGTTTATGTGTGGCTTGAGTAAAGATGGAGCGTTGGCGGCTTTGAAGCATTTAAAGTCTGTCAGAATCTCAGATCCTTCGCTGGATTTATCTAAGACAATACCGCACGGAGGAAACAAAAGTAATGTGTCTCTAAATGTTGTCACAAAGCGTCAGTGGCAATTCAACGATTTGGTTTTAGATTTATTTGAAGAGGTTGAATCAAAAGCTGAGCTTTCACGGACTTGTTTGGATTGCCTTGAGAGTGTCCTTCTTTCTTCAACAAGATCACTTCCTAAAGAACTTCTGATTAAAGCAACGGA